TTTTTTTTTTTGTTATTGCTTGTTATAAAATAAATTGTTCTTAAATATAAAATATTAAAAGCAGAAATTTATTAATATGTGTTACAATACAATTCAAGCCGTGAGTAGTATGCTAAGGATAATTAATCCSATTGAAGTWATACTTTGTTTTAGGTGTTATGCACATTATACTTACTACTTCGGGCAGAAAATTTGCCTGGCTGGTGAATTCGTATGGTTTAGTGCTTAGGTAGTTAAGTAGCATAACATAGTTTATGTARTTTTATACTACTAAGACATTGTCTTTATATGCCTTTAGGAATTAGAAGTCTTCTTTTGATTGTTTATAATCATTACTTACTGATATTAAAAATTATTGATGCTTTTGATATATTTTCCACGATTTTCACAAATTTATATTCAAAAGTAGAATATTTTTTTGTGAGAATTCCAAATGCCTAAAAATGCAATTTTCAATGTGTAATAAATTGATTACGGGCTTAAATTTACCATAAAGTTTTAGGCGTTCAGAGTAGTTCATTTTTTTCCGATTCCGCTCATCTAAATTTTTTATGTAATTTTTACAAATGTATTCGTAATACAAAATTAGATTTTTATAATCAAAATTCCTAAAAAATATTCTGCTTCAAAATATGATTTTTTCATCGATATGCGAGAAATAATTATTAAATTAGTCCGAATAATAATAATTATTATATTGTCCTAGACTCTACGACCGGTAAAGAAAGTCATCTTTCCTCATTGCCGTTTCTCAATCATCATTTCAACCATTGACGACGAGTGTTATAACCAAGTTTAACGTATTAACTATAATATATCTACTATATATGTCTATATGCCCTTGATTATTATTTATAATATGGCTSAATGTGTATAGTAAGTAGGTAACTAGGTACCTAATTTAAATAGGTATTTTGAAATGTACAAATATTCAACCAATGGAACGATTTAAAATACTTATATACGGACTCATTGATCTATAATAAACATATATATGTTAACTACTATAGACAATTCGTTTTCTCAATGGTCTGTTACTTTCAACTGTTCTCCTATACCCATATAGCTATATTTTAGTTTTAAATTAAATTAATTGTAAACAGCGTTTTCAGTTAAAAGATTTATCGCTAACATTTAATTATTTTACTCTGATTGCCATAAAACCTGAATTATTGTATTATGTACATTAATAAAAAATTGTCTATATTACTATCATAACAATAATACACTTTGTAATAATGCAAACGTCATTAAAAAAGTAGTTTTAACTCGTATTGACGAACTAAAAATATTTAATGTAATATAAAAACGCACGAGGGCACGAGGCATACTACRAATTGATTACAAAAATTAGCATTGGGAAATACTATGTGTAAGTAGGTGCATTTCGGTCATTACTTAGTTTTTTTAAATAATACCATTGGATCTAGCTAGAAATAGCATTTACACGAACATAACGTAACATCGAAGGAATTCGACGTTGTGAGTGAAGACCAGTTTTACGCGAGTACATAAGGCGCATTCCGTATGTCTTAGCGTCCATCCGTTTTGAAGTTGAAGTGCTCAGCAATCCGTGACCATTATTATTATTATTGTTTCTCTCTCTCTCTCTCTCCCGTCGAGTCGTCTCGGCGTTCGTTCTCTTTTCTTTCCTTTATTTTTTCTTAACCGGTTTTAATTGTTTTTGCCCCCACGCAGACGATACTTTTCAAATACAAGACTGGCTGCGGTTAAACGGCAACCATGACCGAGGTTACCCGGCGTTTGATTACCACCATAGGATCCGCCCTCTTTCACCAGTTAAGAAGCACCGGATCTCCACTGTTACTGACGGGAGAGTACCGGACCGMCGGAGACAACTCAAGTCAATGGAATCGCTGTTGGGATTAAGCGATGAAAACTTAAACGGCAAACATCTGGTACGTGGTATATAAGTACAGTATACCGGATACAGTGTATCATGATGTAACAATATTTCGAAAGGGAAAACAAAATAAGAAAACACTAATATTATGTTAAAATTGTACCTATAMGTCTATAGATACATTAAATAATTTAACTTATAATATGTACTGTATAAGGTGGTTTATTTAGCATGCTCATTGCTCATCCCCGTAACGTGTACCTATATTTGATATAATTTTACTTCTATGAAAATATCTCGTCTTTACGAGCAACTGATTAATAAAACTTATTAAAAGAATAACATAATGTATAAAATATATAGATAACATTATTAATTATCACTACAATTGTCAGTATTGAAACTGAAAAATCACTCAGAATCTTATTACTGCAGTAGAAACTTGAATAGGTAGTAAACAGTATAAATTGAGTATTTTTTTTTTACTTGTCTACAACTTTTAATTAATAATTAATGTAAATGTATTAAGTTTAACAAATACTCGTATTATATTTTTTTAATAACGTTTAATACAGATTTAAATAAATAACTAAATATAGATCGATTTAAAATTTTATCAATTTTACATTTAAACTGAAGTTATTATTTAATAATTAAATTGCATTTATTAATGCTGTGGTACAGTAGTTTATGATTAATTGCAATTATCAAAGCAACCATTAATTGTATAGACTTAAACGATTTATTTTCACTTGTATGTTGTTTAAAACTGATATGACGCACATTTTATATTTGCGTATTTAAAATAAATATTTATTTATAATTGTATTGCTAAGAATTCCGAGGCTGTTACGAGAGCATCCCCAGATGTACAGGACTCTCTGGATAGGGCTTTAATGGACTTTGAAGAGACTCTAGAGTTGGCGTTTCAGTCAAACTCTATTGTTCCACCACCTCGAGGATTTTCCAATCAAAACTTGGGTATGTAAGAACACAAGATCAAATGTCTGTGAAGCAATTTGCTATTGGAAATTTGAATTTTAGTTGAAGGTGATGAATCAAATTTCAATAAGCTTGACAGTAGCTTCGAGAGCAATACAACTGGCAGTAGTGGTTATTCTACCAGGCCTGATCAGTCCATGCATCGGTCTCTAAACACTTACAACGAACTCCAAGTAAATTTGTGTTGACAAATTAAGCATTTTTATGTACTAATGACTTAAAAACCGCGGTGTTCACAGCTCATCAGGGAACAAATGGTGAAGAGTTTGGAGATTATCAAAGATTTAGAAGAACAAGTCAAACTGGTGCCTATGCTAAAGGTAAGATCTATWATCAGGGGTTAAAGTGGGGGGGGGGGCGCAGGAGGACTCAGTCCCCTTACCTCTGACGGCGGTTAAAAAACGTCCCCTTTAACAAATTAGGATTTTATACATTAGACATTATACATAAAATTATATATGGAACGCTTAAAACTTTTTGGAAACATTAGTCCCCTCTGGAATTTTTTCCCACTTTAACCTCTGTCTATAATTAATTCTATAATTACCATAAATTCGCTTCTATCACGTGTTAATACTAAAATTAGTTATCGTGAACACAGTCAATGTGTCAACAAGTAGAACAAATCGATGACGGTTTTGTTGCGTGTCGTTGGAAAACAAAGGTCTCCGATTGCATACATAGGGATACAGTTTCAAATCCGACGTATTTCTAGCGTGATATACTTCGTGAGCGCAATACATTTTGAAAGCGATTCCACACTGTCAAACAAAATTATTTTTAATTGACAAATTTGTTAAAGAAAAAACTCTACAATCTGTTCGCGACCAATGATTAAAGTAATTGGATATTTTGAGTTGTGAGGTAATTTCAGTAAATTTCTTACGTATAAACAACGTCAAATATTGCATTTCGTACGTATTGAGTATAAAATATAGTATTCATAAAATTACATTCAATAAAACCGAAGTATAAATTTTGTTAACACACATTCCCAATTTTAATAGTAAATTATCTTAACGCACATATATTATAAGTAATTTTATTTGTGATTCTAAGAGATACGTATTTCTTACATTTCTGTTTAGGTAGTGCTTTAAGGAAATGTATAAAATTAATATAATGAAATATTTAACATTTTTATTGGTTTTATTTTGTAAAACAGGCGCAGGTTTCCTCGTTGACTTTAGAGAAACAGCGCTTATCCTCCGAATTAGACAAACACAAAAAATTGGAGAACGCAAATAAATATGCAACAGGTAAGTGTTTTTACACAAATATTCCTTTTAAGTAACTATGCTAGATGGGCTAGGTTTAAATTTGCATTGCAAAGTTGTACACTTGCCGAAATTACTATACCTACGCAATTTGAATAGCATTTTAGATCTAGAAGGTCGTCCTACTATAATAGTATAATATTACCGGATGCAATTACGCTTCCCACACAAGATTAATGCGAACAATATATTATACCAATGCATTTGTTTTTCCAATATATAAATATAATAATTCATGATCATTTTTATTAATTTATAACTTTTTTCGTACTTATAGGTACTTACATAATATTATATTTTGTATTGATTTTTCTAAAACTCATCGTATTTTGTTTGTATAGATATTAATCTTGAATATCTGTTAAAATGTTTGTTATGAAAAATAAATTAATAAAATAATAACAAATAACTATACACCTGTGTAGGTATCCTATTTAAATAGATATTTTATTTATTTTTTATTTATTTGATAGGTCAAAATATATCTTAATTATTTTTTTTCAAGACTTGGAAACAAGATAATTGATAACACATGAAAGTTACTCAGCCACTATAGTCTATAYAGACACACGTACTTTTTACAGTAATACAGTAGATAGAATAGATATATATTAATGAACATTTATTATTAATACCTAATCAATTTTATTGTTTTGGTATTCTTGTTGAAAAAATAAAATAAGCACTTAACATCACGAAGCACTAGGAAGAAAATGAACATCAACAAACGTATAACCCCCATATTTATATCTTTATAATGTAATAAAATAATTAATAATAATTATAATTTTTTATAGATACCTATATAGTATATATAGTTGGTAGCTGATAAATTATTTGTAATAATTATTTTTAAAAGTGTCATGTTCATATGGACATTTAACTAAATAAAATACCTACTTTATGGTTGATACTAAAAGYAGATTGTGCTTTTTTTATAGTTGGGGATTATTGAAATTGATATAATCCAACATAATTTATAAACTGCCTAAAATTTAAACACGAATATAAAAAATATCGTTTTGTGACTTAATCCGATCGAAACATTATATTTGGTTTTAATAATCGCTTTAGGCGTATAATTTATTATTCGTACCAATCGTACCATCAGCAGTTTGTCAAAAGTCTCTTATTAATCGCAAAAAATGTTCGTTAATTTTATGAAGAAATTCTAAAAAATTCTCTAAAAACTAAAAAAAATTACGCTTAAATTGTCAAAAATCCATTTAAAGTGAATTTAGTTAAAAACTGCAAAAAAAATACTCTTAATTAAGCAGTATCATCTAAAATACATTTTATGCTTACTCAGCAGCATTTCAAAACACCAGAAAAATTATCAAAATCTCAGCCCTAATAATAATTATTACCTAATTATATACATTTATTACCTATATCTTAATRAAAAATATCTATTTTAATAAAAAATTAAAACACTGATCAGTAAAATAAATTTAAAATTAAACTTCATAAAAAAAAACAATTTGTTTTGATAACTAAATAGGTAGCTAAGGAATTTATTAAAATGTTACTATATCTATCATTTATAGTTATATAAAATATTTTATTGAGCGATTTTTATTGTTCAAAACTGTGTAAAAGTTTTATTCAAAATATTTAATACAGTGTATCTATAATGTATACATTTGAATATTATAACATATACCAATTTACTATGTAATTAGGTATTAAGTATTAAGTACAACTTACAAAATTATACAAAAATAAATAAGTGAAGGTGCTTCGTTTTCACGAATTCAAAAAACTCATATCRATTGGGAAAACAAAATTATCATTTGAGCATATGATTTAATTTGGTGTTTGTTAAAYTCCTCTTAAATTTAAATTTTCAATTTTATAGACATATAGAACTCTCTGTGGTTGACTAGTTATTTAGTTAGTGTGAAACAGTTATTTTGTTGATATAAAATATTATATAATAATAATATATTTATTTATACCCATTAAATGATATGACAATAATATTTAAAAATTGTAGTTGTTATTAAATGAAACCTATTATATTATGTCATTGCATACACTATTTATCTTATATCGTTAAACTATTATTGAGTCTACGCTGATAGTTATACACGATTATTTAGACAAATCAGATTTTTAATTTTATTACGAGGTATAACCTCTAAACGTGCAGACGTTCATCTTTTCAAGGTTACGTRAATATGCTTAGAAATAAGTATAATAAATATGAAATAACATACCTACTTATTTTATTATTATGTTATGTGGACATGTACTTATAAAATTGTCATTGCACATGACCATTATTTACAATTTTCTTTTTTTTCTCATAATTTTATATTACGCTATTTCTGACAAGTTTAAACAACATGCTTATTTTATGATATAATAAATAAAATAACTACAAGAAACCAGAGCGAAGAAGCAACCCCATTGAAGGTATACTATTAATTTATAAATATGCCAATGTCTATATGTTTATCATAAACTTTTTGCGAATGATCCTGTTTTGATTTACGCGATTTACATTCAGGTAATTAGGTTGCGAATAACAGGAATCGTGTGCAAGAGACCGTGGCATAGGTAGGGAACAAGTACAATAGTACATCGATGATCGATCATGTCATATTACATTAAAACTACAAATTACAATATACTACTTAATATTCGTATATAGTACCAATCTATGCTGAGTGAGTCAATCAATAATCTTGCGCATAAAAACATTCACGTTTTATGACATTAAGCGAAAAAAACAAAATCGATTTCGTAGATAAAAAATTGTTCCCCCTAATTATTTTGAAAAGTACTATGAATGTTATACTACATTTGACTTCCCAGAGTACCAGTTACATTATATMCAATTTGGTACAAATAACCAGCCTCAAAGTAAAGAATTTAAACATTTTTACTGCTATAATATAATAAGTGATGATGCAGATATATACACACAACACATCAATGCATAAAATCATGAAAATCATTGCATTTATCACTGAACTCAAAATTCTAAAATCTCTATAAYTAACATAAATCATTGAAACCGCTCTTATGCATTTAAATATCCAATATTAAGACATTTGAACTAAACAGCTCATAAAAAATACATGGCTAAAAATTGTTTTTAAATTCCAGTTAACAAAATTTGCATGAGRTCATGAGGATAATCTTTTATTGATTATAATATAGTCAAGTCTTTGGTTTTAGAAGAAAAAAATATACCTTTTTATTTTTTGTAGTCAATAATGAATAATTAGGATATTTTTATAAWTTTAATGAATTWCACAAAATGTTGAACTTGATGATTCAACAATTTTTATTTATCAATTTGGACGCTAATATAGATGTGCAGGATAAAATCCAATAAGATAGAAAAGGCCAAAGGGTCACATRATAACGTATTGAAATTGTGAAGTTTATAGGATCCAAATTTTATATTCCAATTTAGTAGGTATTCCTGTTTTTCTGGATGTCCAGTGAAGCTGATTGTTGCATGCATAACYAAAGACGTAATAATGTTACGTATGCAATAATATTCAGTTACTCCAGCCATCTTCGTTGGAAATCAAAAAAAAAAATTTTTTTTTTAATACAGTAATACCAAGCTGAAATAAAAAAAATTGATAAAATTGAGTTACTTCCCTCTAGGACGGGGGATTCGTTGTATACAAATTATAAGTGGGTATAGGTAATATACATCATATACAACTACGAGTGTATACAATAACAATAGGATAGTATAATTATTGTGATATGTAAACGGATGCGAGTGACGTTGGGTTGATGCGGTTTTCGAAAACAGTCGTACGGAGCTAACCTATATAGTCTTAACACAATATCCATGGTACACTGAGAGCGGTAAGGGGGGAAACTGCACGCATACGGATCACGCCGCTTGCTCTGCAGAGCACGAACGTCGCAACACATAATACTCGTATAATGGTATAGTGGGCAAGATGACTATAAATAATTAACACGGGATGAAGCACAACGTGTCTCGAGACTACGCTCCGAGTATGTATCGCTCCTAGTATGGTGTAATATATTTTTTTCCGATTTTTCACTAYATAATATGTAAACATTGTAAACACGCAGAATTGCATTAGCCGTTTGCGGACAAACGAGTAGGTCGTAGTACTGATGCGTGTGTGTGTGTGTGTGTCTGTTATTGCGTTTTAATACAATTAAAAAAAGTTCGATGTATTCACAAAACAATATAGGTAACTCATCACGTTATCACAATGTTATATAAAAATAATGTACCAAGTCTTTGGAAAATTGTTCTTTTTACGTTTTGGCTATACATTTTCACATACCTTTAAAAGCGTCTCTTTTGTTTTATTATAGTTTTAAGTATTACAATATATGCAACAGCGCTATACAGGTATAAGCCTACGAGTGTTTTATCCATATAATATTATACAATCGGAATTCGAGTGGAAAAAATCAAACGTGTTTAATATTTTCATTATTCGTGTAAAATGATGATGAGTGACAATTATAATATTACGCAACGGCGCGTAATTATGAATGACATTCACAATCTAGAATAATCGTAGTGTATGGGCCCCTCTTAATACTTTGCTTTGTGCCGATTATCTATGCCGGGCTCCAGCCTAACTAATACAGTCAATTTTACAATTTTTTTTCTTTTTTGCTTTACCGACCTCTTGCGCTTTCTATATTAAGCCCCTTCATTTATTGCAGCGGTCATTTGAAATATTATCTCTACCGTTCTTGTGTCGACATCTTTTAACTTTCTATATCTTTCCACCATTGCAGAGGTCTGAGATCTCCTTCTAGGGCGCTTGCCTGCAGTTGGTTCATTAATCAGCATTCAGCACCTCTCGAAATACGCTTCCCTCAGCTCGCCAAAATATATGAACTATTACTCGTTTTAGACGCTTGGCAGTTGGCTTTATAGATTATTTTATACCTGCAGTWACGTATGCAGGATTTTAGTTCGGTTAGGGTTTACATAAATAAATAATTTACATTATTTTTTTGCTAAACAGTTTTTATTTAATTGGTTAAATAAAAACAATTATTATAATAATTAATAATAAACTAACAATTTATTTAATATCTATTAAAAATTACCAACAATTTATCGACTCTGTGTATTAAAATGGTGATAAATAAATTTTTTTGTAAAAGGAGGAAATTTCAGGGGGGGGGTGGGTTAGAACCCTAAAACTCTACCCCTGCGTACTCCACTGATTTCTACTATTATTCGTTTCTAGTCGGTAGCGGATGGTCTCTGTCGGCGCATCCGGCTAATAGACACGTGGCCGTGTCCACCAAAGAGGTGGGTATCAACTGCGTACCCATGTGCCGGGACGTAGGCGTGACGACACCGTCGGCCACGTCTGTGAACACGTCTACAATGACGGAACGGCCTGTGTCCGCGACGGCCGTGCACACCCAGACGGACGCGGCCGCCAAGCCGGCCACAACGACAGCGCACACGCAGACCAAGGACGCCGTAAAGCCGACCACCTCAGTGGCGCACACTCAGACCGTGGCGATCGCCGACGTCCAGCCGGCCGCCGTAGTGCCGCCGGCGGCGGTGGTGGCCGTCACTGCGACAACGGCGACTGCGAACGTCGGCACGCAGTCTTCTAGGCCCGCGGCTATCAGGACGGTCACGATCGGCGTTACAGCCAGGCCGCGGACGTACGACGCCAGTGTGGCCGCCAAACCGACGTTCAAGCACGTCGGGTGTTCGGCTGACGTGACGACGGACGCGAAACCAGCCGCCGCACCAGTGACGCGCGCCACCCAGACGGACGCCAGAGACGATCATCTGCACGGCGGCCATAATCGCACCACACAAACGGAAGCCACGGTTCTTCCGGAAGTCGCTGCCGTCCGAGCCAGCCGAACGGAATCTACGGTCGTCCGGCCCAATTATGCAACGATCGGCCGACGGAGCAATTCGTTCCATCATTACACGGCGGCCGCGAACGCCGACACGTCGCCGTCGACGATCACGTCAAAGATACCTCGTCTGAAGCCCGTCACTCCTGAACTCAACCGGAAAGTGTTGACAAGACAGGACACGTACACTAAGACCGCGGCAGAGATCTGCACCGACGATCTGCAACAGCAACCATCATCATCGTCGTTGTCGCCGCCGCCGCCCCGCATTTCCGATGACGTCAGCAGGTAAGGAAATCTTTCGTACAAAATGTTAACATCATAATATTACTGCACTTATATATGATTGACTGCGATGTCTCGTGACTCGCGAGTTATAGTAACGTATAAGTGGTATCAGTATGGTATTCAAACTGTGCGTCGCGTGAGTTATTTGTGAAGGGATCCGGAAACCAACATTATAATGTAGGCCGGTGTAAGACATAAGCGCCAAAATAAGATAAGAAAAAAAAAGTCGTATCGTACAAAAGCGCCAAAATCGTATCGTCCATAAGCGCCAAAATGGGATAAGAAAAACAAGTTGTATCGTACAAAAGCGTCAGAAATTAAATAACAGAATTAAATTAAAAAAACTCCAAACGCTAATCGTAATCGACAAAATATGTAGGTATTATCTGATTACGATAGATTGTCAAATAGACAGTGGGTGAGCAGTTTGTGTTATAACATATTGTTAGTACCTATTTCGTAATTTCGTAATTTTATTTTTATATAAAATCAACCAATTTATTAAATGTATAAAATATTGATGTGCATGTATATTATAATTTATTATCGACATTTTATTTTTATAAAAAATCAACCAATTTATTAAATCTATTAAATATTGATGTGCATGTACCCATGGGCGCCCGCAGGAAATTTATCAGGGAGGGGCATAATGAAATAAAACACAAAAAAATACATTAAAAAAATTGTATTCCTTGTAAACTACAAAATGTGTTAGAATTATATGAAATCCAACACCAAAAATAACATTAAAAAATATATTCCTTACAACCTAAAAAATGTGTTGGAATTATATTGGTATTTATATTCTTTATTAAATAAAAACTGAAGTCTTCGTGGTTGTTCTATTGCAAACCTTGTTATTAACTGTTCAATTAATTTCTCTTTTCTTGTATCAACTCTTTCTCGATGGACACTTAACATACATAGGCCATTTAATCGGTCTTCGCCCGTCGTAGACCGAAGCCAAGTTTTAACCCTTCGTAAAGTGCTAAA